CTTTATCTTTCTCATTGCTTTTAGAAGTAGAATTATCTTTTGGAGAAGTAGAGACATTATCCGCTTGAATGTTACTAGGTGGATTTTCAACGTCAACCATCGGGTTACTTGAGCTGGAAGTGACATTACTAGAGTTATTATGTTTAATTATGTCATCTTCGGTTGGCATGTCTACTTTATTATTATATTCTTTTCCCGAGCGTAAAGTAGTTATAGCCTTAGCCTCTTCTCTTTGAACCGAAAGATTACTTGTCGAGACTTCAAAGACCTTTTGAATAGGTTTTGGGTTTTGAATAGCTTGTCCCGGAAATTTTCGTTTCTCTTGGTCGGCATCTATTTTAACAACTTTATGTTCAAGTCTTTCAATAATTTTGTTTTGATTTGTCTGTTGTTCAAGTATCTTCATTAAAAGAGCTTCATAATTAGTCTTTGGTTGCTCGGCCTTTTCTTGATTTTGCACCGGAGGTTGATTAACTTCATTGTTATTTCTATAACCATGAAAGTTGTTGTTTTGCCTCATATATCCATTAGGGTTTCTATTCATTGTATTTCCTTGAAAGTTTCGGGGGTTTTGATTAAACGGTCTAGCATTGTTTTGATTACCCCATCGAAAGTTTGGATGATTAGCCCATGTTGGATTGTATGAGTTACCTTGTGGTGGGGCATTGTTTCTAGTGTCCCAAACATCGTTAACTTGTTCTTGTTCGTAAGGAATGTGTGGGCAATTTTCTTCATTGTGCTCATTTCCATTACAAACTTAACATATTTCATTAACGTTCATGACGGTGTTTGGTTGGTTACTTTGTAAGGAGAGAGCCTCAACTTTCTTAGCTAGATTCGGAATTAAAGTTTTTACTTCTCCATCTTGTTCCATTTTAGCCGTAGTTTTAACTTCATAGACTCCAGGGATAGGATTAGGTGAGTTTCCCCAATGTTGAGAATTTTCAGCAAGTCTTATAAAGAAATCATTAGCTTGTGTAGCGGTTTTACTAAGGAATTGCCCTTCATTCATAGATTCTACTAAAGCACGAGTCGTCGGGTTTAGACCATTGTAAAAGCACTGAACTAATGTTTCCATAGGGATTTGATGATGCAGACATTGTATCTGCAACTCCCCAAATCTTTCCCAAGCTTCGAAGAATTCCACCGTATGCTTCTGTCTGAAAGTCTGGATCTTGTTTCTCAACTCTATTGTCCGTGACATGGGATAGAACTTAGTAAGGAATTTTGTGTTCAACTGATCCCAAGTGCGGATAGAGTTTCCGGCTAACGAGTGTAACCATTGAGATGCTTTGTCATTCAGAGAGAACGGGAAAAGCCTTAAACGAATACCATCAACGCCAAGTCTAGTTTCATTAAGAGTTGAGCATATTTGGACGAATTGATGTAAGTGAGTATAAGGGTCTTCACGCTCGTGACCAGAGAACTTCAGCAACATGTTAATGATGCCATAGTGAAGTTTGCAATCAGCTCCATCTTCAAGCGCTGGCAGAACGATGCAATTAGGATGTCCGGTAGATAAGGGAGCAAAAAGATCACGAAGTGGCCGTTCAGGGTTGGCCATTTCAACAGGATGGATCAAGTTGCTACTATCGGAATCTAATTCAAAAGCACTATTTGCTAAGCCTAGAGGACTATTATCTAGATCGAAATCTATCGGATTCACCTCTAACTTATTAACAACCACAGGAGTATACCTAATACCAGAGCGTAAAAGCATATACTAAGGTGTTGGTATCGGGTCTTTTGGTGCGTACCCTTTACCAACTTATTATCAGAACTAAGCTTAGTACACAAAGCAAACACTTCACACTTCTAATTATTGAAAATTAAACCTCTTACGTGAGATTCGAGGTGTTAAGAGTACACGTACTTTTTTCCTTCGAACACGCGCAAACAAGCAAATAATATTCAAAATGGCACTACACAGAATGTAAATACCTTAAAAGTGTTTGAAACACGTACCTTGGTCCAAAAACTTATAATTCTGAAATTTTCAAAGTTTTCGGAAAATCCAAAAAAATTTGAA